ATTAGCAAGGACAGCATTTAGCTCAAGAGCAGTATCAGAGTTTATAGTTTGAGAAAGTAAAGGTTTAATGTTCTTTGTGTCCACAGAAAGTGAAATATGAATAGAAAATAAAACGGGCAAATGATCAGAAATACACGTCTGAAGAACTTCAATGATATCTAAACAAAGCCCATGTGATGACACCAAATCCAGAGTATGTCCCTTTACGTGTGTTGGCCCAACCACAGATTGTACAAAATGAAACGAATCAATCAAGTCCAAGAAGTCCTTCACCAGAGGTTTATCTGGACAGCATACGTGTACATTGAAATCGCCTCTGATTAAAATGTGGTCATACTCTAATGTAATCTGTGCCACAAGTTCTGAGAATTCATGAATGAAATCCTTGTTGAACTTTGGCAGAATGTAAACCACCACACACAAAATTGGTTCTGGTAATTTCACTTCAAACAATTGGAGCTTGAAACTGGAAAAATGATTGTGTTAGGTGATTGTTGGCAGTGGAAACAGGATTTAAAAATTGTAGCCAGACCTCCACCTTCACCAGTCAACCGGGGAGAGTTTATAAAAGCACTTGAGGTAGAAGTTCAGAGACCGGGAACAACTTACCTTCTTCTTACCAAGTTTCTGTGATAAATAAAAAAATCCAAATCCCGAGAAGTAAACAGATCGTGCAGCATGAAGGTCTTAAGCAAGACAAAGCAGGTGGTATATGGTGCAGCAGCACAAGTTGAAGATGAGACATAGTTCAACCACTTACGGTTTCCATAATCCACGTTCCTCTTTTGACCTCGAAACCGTCGATTATAGAAAAACTCCACCGCGTCCATCTGAAAGGAGCACATCCCCTGAACAACGGGTTGAATCCAGCGGCGTCTTGCATCCAGGAAATGAGGACACCATCCAAGTCGATGTATGGCGTCCGATCCGATGGTTTACGATCGTAAACAATAAAGGCCCTGGAACTGTAGCAGCATAAATATACAAATAGAACAAAAAGAACAAAAATAACGAAATGGAGAGAGCGAGTCTGAAGGCGTGCCGAACACAGTGGTGCCATCTTGGAAAAATTTTTTTAATTAAATTAAAATTCTAGCACCTATTTTTATGGGGGGGTTTTTGTTTGTTTGTTTGTTTTTTTTTTCATTTATTGGTGAAATCATAACATCGGTTTTATGAAATATTCAGGTTTTGTAATTACTGATTATTAATCACACCTTTATACTGTATATATAAAAATATATATATTAGGTTTTTTATATATAGAAACTGTCTGAAAGAAGAGAATTTGGATATTTATGAAGAAATACATGTCAAAATAATTTACATGTTCTCGTAAGTGGAAATCCATTTTTTATCGAGTTTGTTACCGATATGCTTCTAAGAAATAATCAAAGCATAACCAGAATCAGCCTTGGAAACGCTGTCTTTCGTTGACCCTTTCCTGAAATTACATTGACAAGCTTGAGCTGCTACCTGCTGTTTTGAGGGTGAGCTCACTGAAACGTTGAAGATTCTTCATGCAACACGTGTGTGTTGATGGCTAACTCTCTAGGTATTTGCTGAGAGTGGCAACAGGTTGGACAGCCTGTCAGGTTTCGCTCTGATTCTGAGCGACGAGTTGTCAACAAGCGCAAGGCATCAAACACCTGGCCTAACAGGAGAATACCTGCCTGACCAGTTCCTGCCAATGGCAAACACTCACATGTACCTATAGCTTTTGATATGAGGAACCAGTGGGAGGGACAGACAACTATTTTATTTCTTTGTTGCATTTCTTGTAGTTCTTTATTGAAACCGTTGTGAACACTACTTTGAAAATCTTAAGAGGATTATGTCACGTTTGGGTGGAAACTAGTTTGGCCTCGGGTTTCTGGTGTTTAATAATCTGTGATCGGTTGTTCTGCTTTCCCTCCGCAGTAGTTCCAGTTCTGACTTTGCCATGCAAAGGTTTGACAGGAACTCGGAGGTGTACAAGATGATCCAGGAGAACAAGGAGTCCCGCACGCCACCTCGTCAGTCCAACACCTTCAAAATGCTGCAAGAAGTGCTGGAGGCTGATGAGAAAGGTTAGAAGCATGTGGATTTGCAACTCTGTGGGAGATTTACATCAGTCAGGAGAAATGTTTGGGGTTTTTTTTCTCTAAATTTGAATGTGGCGAAAGGGAAGGAAGAAAAAAGTTGGAAAAGCATGTTGTCAGAATGTCTTTTATCAGCGGGTTTGTTTATATCTGTGTTTGTGTTCAGAGGCAGCCCTGCGGTTTCCGGGGAAGCTTTCCCCCAACCCACCGAAACAGAGCACCTCTGTTGCAGGAGTCAGCAAACACCACACCTGTGAGAAGTGTGGCACAAGCATTGTGTAAGTCCTCCTGTAGTTTTATTACCACTGAGGCAGTGTATGGTTTCCATCGGAGGTTATGCACACACACACCAATCTTAATGCAGCGTTGAACTTTTAATAATGCATTTGAACAGTTGTTTATTAAGAGTTAAAGGAGTATACAGCATAAAAAATCAACTAACTTTATAAACAAGAAGTGGGTACTTAAGTTTAAGTTTTTGTATTTTTCCCTCTAATCCAGATGAGGTCAAAACTAAAGAAACTTTCACACATCCCCATTGATATGGATGGATAAATGTCCTTTACCAAGCTGCTAAGCCAGTCTTTTTGGAGTTATAGACATTCTTTCTTTTTAATTCTGGCTGCATATTTCATCATAAACCTGTCCATAAATTGTAGAGGTCATTTATGTTGGTGGGTTTCTTGGCACAGGCTCAACTTTTTAGCATATTTCATAAACTTTCAATGGAATCGAGACCATTTAATGAACTTAATGTTAGTCTCCTTTATCAGCTTTAGCTTTAGGATCTTTGAAAGCTTAAACCATCAAGCTGTTGTGTTTAGATAAGCTCTTATATTTGTCCTGTGCACCAGTGCCAGTAAAACAAAACCTCAGCATGATGCTGCCTCCACTGTGCTTTTTAGCTCCTGTTCAAATGTTCTCCTGGACTTGAAACTTTCCTATTGCTTAATCATTTTCACCCAGATAATAAAGATTTTTCCCCAAATATGTTTGGCTTCTCCATGTGGGCAGCTGCAGTTTTCAGTCAATCAAGAAGCTGATTCTTATGCTGACGTCCCAGCAGCTTCCACTTAATGCCAGGTCTGAGCCTTGGTGGTTCCTGTAAATTAAAAATGTCTGTCATCTCTGACCTGCAGTTTTTAAAGAGGTTTAATGTACGGATTTTAAAGCACAGACTTCTTTCTACAATCTGAAAACTGTTTTCCTGTGGTGAGTGACACGGGTTTGAGCTTTGATGGACTTTACACACAGTTAGATGTTCGGAAAGGTCAATGATCCTAAACGCACGCGCGCACGCACATAGCTGGTTTTGAAAAACTTGCATTTACTTTCCTCTCCACAGCCTTTTATTCAACTCTGTGGAAATTTATGTGCTATGCTAGAAATGGGCCGGTATTGTTTTTACTTTTATAACTTTTTAATGTTTTATTGAACCATTACTAATTTGCTGTAAAATGTCACTACTGAACAGAACTGTGGTAATTAAGTAGTAGTTTTTGTGATGATGGTTATTGTGAGAGCATGTTTTGTCTTGTGAGGCTTTATCTGTAGACTTTTAGCTAAAAAGCCTGATTTTTTTCAGGCATCTTAACATCATAGTAACCACACTTGATCACCACAAACGTGACAAAGTTTTATGTCCATTTCTTCCATCCCCATAATATGCTTTAAAAACCAAGTTCAGGAAATAAACCCGTATAAAAAGGAAAAAAAGTGGTCAAATACCCATTCAGAATTATGTCAGAATTTGTTACAAGAAGTACGTGATTTCACAGCAGCTTGCTAAGGAACATGTATCGTAACATAGTGCGTGCGTGTGTGTTTGCGTGTGTGGGGGGATAAATTTGAGCCTAAATGGGAAACAGAAAATCCACAAACTCAGACTTGGGCACCCAATTCTTGTTTTTTGCAACTAATGACTAATGCAGTCATTAGTTGCATCATTCCAAATTGGAAAAAGATGTTTATATCAAATTAACTAAATTTATGCCAAATGAGTGTATATGTAAGCTCCTCAAATTAGGCTTTAAGAGATTTTCTAAATTTTGAGGCAGTGGAACATTCATGTTGTTGGACTAAAGGTTTTGTTTTATGCATCTGTCTTTTGTATGTTTTGTGTGGATTTAATATTAAATACACATGAAGGGGGGCACTTACAGAAGCGTCATCTGAAATTGATAAACATATTGTACTTACAAAAAATTCAGTAAGAACTGGAAAAAGAACGAACCTTTGAATAAAAAAAAGTGGAACAGACTGAATTTGTCCAACGGAGCGAATCAGAAAAAACAGACAATAAGCTGCTTTTCAAATAACTTGTTTACATCTCTATTCAACTTCACAGGACACAGGCAGTGCGCATCACCGACCGCTTCTTCCGTCATCCGGAGTGCTACACCTGCACAGATTGCGGGCTTAACCTGAAGATGAGAGGTCACTTCTGGGTTGAAGATGTAATGTATTGTGAGAAGCATGCCAAAGAGAGGTACCAGGGCCCAGGCAACGCCATTCAGACCACCGTGTCGCCCCGCCAATGAGTTGGCCCCTGCAGCCTGTTCCACTCTGCACAGAGTGCTGCTTGCCTCCCCGAAGCGCCACCTCATCTGACTCACCGATACACCTTGGAAATATTTTTTGTGGGGTCGACATTACATTAATTTCTGATCTTTAATCTTTAATCAAATATGCAATTCATAATATACACTTTATTGCCTTACTTGTTGTTTTATGAGAACTATTTTTTCCCCCAATATGGTTCAGCCTTCATGGTCTCTCATTATTTGCCCACATAATACTCGGGCCAGATTTAAAAATGCAGGTGCTTTAAAAAAAAAAAAAAAAAAAAAAAAAAAAATGTTTAGTAGAACCGAGGATGAGAATCGCCATCTGAATTTTCTAATTGAATAAAAAAAGGGACCAATAACTAATCAACTCTGCATGCTGCCTTAAAGTTGTTCAGATGGTGCTGTGCGAGTGTGTGTGTACGCGCGAGTGTGTGCGTGTGTGTGTGTGTGTGTGTGCGCGTGTGTGCACGCGCGCGCGAGTGTGTGAGTGAGTGAGTGAGTGTGTGTGTGTGATTGCATGCTTTCTCATGCAGACACAGCTTCTGCATGGCTTCATATCGTGTGTGAATGGTTGTGTGTGTTTCCACATGACGAAGGCAAGAGAAAAAGATGGCTGCCAAGTTATTGTAGAGATGTGGAGAGTGGCAGATTCGGGGCAGAATGCCTTTTGAATTTATCTGTTTGTAAACTGAATAGATAAGAATCGGCAAAGCAAGTGAAGGGAGGGGTGTGCTTGTTGTTTGGCTCTTTTGTTAATTTAGAGGGACAAAATATCTTTTCAACATATAAATATTTTTGATATTCTTTTGATGATAATATTATAATGTGGATCATTTAAAATGCATATTGTAAGCTTGGGACATTTGATGTGATAAGAAGTCATAATGCAGCACATGTCCAGTTCCAGCAGTACTGAGAGATGGACTTTAACCTTCACATTTTTTTTGTGGAATATAATAAAGTTGCACAACCTGAAGTCTCTCCTGATATGACTTTGAACGTCTGTTTAATGTGTGACTAAATTCCTGCCTCGTCATTTTTATTGGAGTTATTTTGGGTAATCTTTCTTATGCCTGCTTCAGTTCACAACTGCAACAGTTGTCAGTGCTACTTATAGGATATATATATATATATATATATATATATATATATATATATATATTTTTTTTTTTTTTTTTTTGTTTGTTTGTTTGTTTGTTTTGCTGAGGACTAAATTATGTTTGACATAATGTTCATTTGTTATTCCAACCTAATAGACATTGAGCTGGACTGAAGGCCCTTACATTGAGAAATCAAAATATTTATTCAAACTCAAGGAAGTCTGGCAGCATTAGGGTTTTATTAGTGTGAATAATGTAACGTTTACAGTAGTGAGTTAGGACAGGTTACAATTAGTACTGGCCTTAGTTCATCTCCTAATACTGAATTTTAATGTAAAATATTACACTTTCAATAAATGGCTACACAATTCTATTGTTTACCACTAGAGGGTGGTATTGCTGCAGTTTTGAAAGAATTCTTTTATTCATATGGATTTAGGGAAAGTGTGTGTAGACTCTCTAAGCTATTTAATCCTGTGGCAGTAAGGTGATTTTATTTTTATAGCACATTTTCAGCAATTCAAAGTGCTTTACATGAATTAAAAGGAAATGCAAACAAAATGACAAACCAAAGGAAAGAAAAAAAGAGAAAGGAGAGCAAAAGAAAACTTATCTAATGTTGCATTTTGCTAAATTTTCAGCAAGTTTTATGGTGACAATTCAACTTGTTTTTAAATGATGGTGCGCCACCATTTTTCTTAAGAGGTCAGAGCTGTCATATGTCCTGTGTTTGTCCTTCATTGTAACATTTTTTATCTAATTCTTGTGTGATTTTTAGTGCATCGTTCAGGTGAGATACTTTACAAGCCAAAAGTGACAGAGAAGTTATTCAAGAGCCATCAACATTTTTGACAATGCGGTCAGGAGACTCCCCAGATCCTAATCCCAATGATAACCTGTGGTCTTATATATATATATAAAGTAGATAGATCAGATGGTAACAAACTATAAATAATTTTGAGCTTTATGGATTCAAGCTAGAAGTTATTTAACAAGCAAGAAAACACAAATATGACTGATTCAAAAAGTTGATTTTACGTACCCCACCCGCCTAACCACTCTTTTAAAGAGTGGCGAGAGCTGAACTACTGGGAGTCTCTGTTTTCTACACTGCTCAAAAAAATAAAGGGAACACTCAACACATCCTAGATCTGAATGAATGAAATATTCTCATTGAATACTTTGTTCTGTACAAAGTTGAATGTGCTGACAACAAAATCACACAAAAATCATCAATGGAAATCAAATTTATTAACCAATGGAGGCCTGGATTTGGAGCCACACACAAAATTAAAGTGAAATGTTCCCTTTATTTTTTTGAGCAGTATATATATTGCCACTAGATGTCGCCGTGTTACCAAACACAAAGTTTCCTGGCTGGAAGTGTCTTTTGTTTATTCGCTGGAAGAAACACAATACTGTACTATACCTCATCTCACTTGGTCTGTTGCTCTGATTGTGCAGAGAAAAGTTTCATACATTTTGATCATTTCCTCTCGGCCATCTGATCTGAGGGACAACAGGGAAATCCTGTCCCTCTGGAGGAATCACAGATCATGCCTCTTATGAACTGCCATCTCTAATATTTGTCATCCAAATCAAACATTAGCATAGTTTGTCTTTTTGCACTTCCAAGCCTCGCTACGTTTCACCTCTCTTCTCCCTCTCTCTCTTTCCGTCTCTCTCCCACTGTTCTCTGCTTTCCCCATTCTTCACCTGGGATGGAGTCCAGATGTGGAACAGAGAAAGGAGAGATTGCTTGCTTAGCTATACAGGGCGAAGGGGGACGGGGGCTGCAGAGAAAATGTTGGAACGACATTAAAGTTTGTCTGGATACCATTAAGTACAATTTGATGTAATGTGCAGTTTGGGACGCAAAGTTTAAAATGGAAACTCTGCTCTCCAGATGAGAGCGATTTGGGCCTTGTGGGGCTGGAGGGGGGTGTTGCACTTGAAGCTTTATTTAACAGCTTGGATAAACACCCCTCTGTTTCATTACAGAACAGGCGCCCATCTACTCCTTGTGCTTTCTTTTAGTAACCACGCTGGCTGTCTGAGCCTGCTCCAGAGTACAGTATCGCATACAGGAATAACAAACCGGGGGTCTGCTGCAGGGGTCAGAGCACAGTGCACTATTATATACTGCCAGGCTGCTTGCATGACTGGGGAACCTGTAGTTTGAACATGTCGGTGAACACACGTCAAGCCCAATTGCAAGAAGTAACCTTTTCAAAAGCTTTCCTCCTGCACCGCCTCGCATTTTGAAACGCTCTCCAGATTTGAATCACCACAGCCTCTGTCCTCCCAGGCCTCTCGTATATCAAAAAGTATTTTTAAAACAGAAGTAACCTACTGTATTTTCGGAACTTTTTGTGCACACAGCTAAAAAAAAAAAATATATATATATATATATATATATATATACGTATATATATATATATATATATATATATAT